AAAAGAGATGCTTGTATGCGTGTATACACCTATAACCTAAGATGTTGTTTTGGCAAGCACCGATTACGCGTAAATGTTGTTGTTCGGGACGGATGGTTTTCATGTAATAGGCTCATCATTTTTTGACAGCTTATCTGACGCGGCAGGACAAATCCCCGTGATGTCCACAAGATCTGCATACGAAACAGGGAGCATGGCGTGAAGAGCGGTCAGGAAACATAAATGTTTTTTGTCTTCCAGAAATGAAACAGAACCCAGGGACACCCGCGAGGCGAATTCTGTTTAAAATTCGAGTTCAATAAAATTAACACATCCGATGTTGATCGACTTCGTAAATGAGTCACCGGTGCTTATCGTTTAAGAATGGTTCGGTGGATTCTTTCTAAGCCGATAAAACTCAAAAATGTTCCTAGAAATTGTAACCTAATTCTACAGAGTTAGGTTTAGGTTTCCAGTGTGTGTGTGTGTGTGTGTGTGTGTGTGTGTGTGTGTGTGTGTGTGTGTGTGTGTGGTGTGTGTGTGGGTGTGTGTGTGTGTGTTGTGTGTGTGTGTGTGTGTGTGTGTGTGTGTGTGTGTGTGTGTGTGTGTGTGTGTGTGTTGTGTGTGTGGTGTGGGTGGTTGTGTGTGGTGTGTGTGTGTGTGTGTGTGTGGTGTGTGTGTGTGGTGTGTGTGTTGTGTGTGTGTGTGTGTGTGTGTGTGTGTTGTGTGTGTGTGTGTGGTGTGTGTGTGTGTGTTGTGTGTGTGTGTGTGTGTGTGTGTGTGTGTGTGGTGTGTGTGGGTGTTGTGTGTTGTGTGTGTGTGTGTGTGTGTGTGTCATCATATGCAGAGCTTAGTTTTAACCATGATTTATTAGCTGTCGCGCCTAGCTCCCTAGTTTTATATCGACAAGTAGAAAGTTAAGACATATCTGGGCATTTCAGACAATTTTCCAACTATTGTACTTCTCGTGGTATCATGACGTTTGGGTGAATCACATGAGCTTCCACTTCAGACGCCTAAATCTAGATAAGAACTTACTTGTGTTAGGATGTGCACTGAATAATGGATAGCCAATATATACTTCAATTACATAACTCATACTGCTTCCGTATTCCACGCTTCGCTTGGTTATATTTTGTCTGGTCTGGCCCTACATTGTTGTTGCAAAGTCTTGTTACAAGACTTGCCGAGTTGCCGACCACTTGCCGACAGATGACCACCTGTTAGACACTGCGGGCCCCTGACCGCCAAAGGGTCACTATCCTTATTTCAGGGACAACATTAATGCAAAGCGAGTGCCGCGGCCTGGCTCCTGCTTGGAAATGGGCCCCTAGGATCCAGACCGACACGAAACCAACTGTTCAGTGCTCGTGGTCTCTGGCTGACATAGGCGCCCTCATCGTCTCAAGGGGTCCTCAAACGGTGCCAGAAGACCTCCGACTGATATTTCAGGTCACGGCCCTGCGGTCCGGGATCTTTTATGCGACCTAAAGCCAACTCTCCTGTTCCTTATGCCCTCCAATCAGGCCTTGGGTTATCAGTTCCGGTATGCCCCGAGGGCCCCTTTTCGGGCATCATCAAACACTGCACTTGGTCGACTCAGGACCCCTTGCCAACACGGGGCCCATTTTGAGCACTGGGAGTCCCTCACTAATACAGCGGCCCCGACCAGCGTAAATCGCTGTCCCCGGCTTTTTAGCTGCTTGGGGAGTGGGCTCCCAGGCCCATACCAACGCGGGGCCGACTGTGCGGTGCTGGTGGTGCCTAACCGACACATAGGCCCTTACTGACTTCCGGGTCCCCGAGCGGTGCAAAGCACCCCCTCACTGTCATCTGAGGGCCCATCCCCGCAGGTCAGGCCCTGAATGCCTTTTCGGGCACTCAAAGCGGGTCTTTAAGAAGGAGTCATCTTAGACACCTTATCACCTAAGGCGTCCTATCTAAGGGAAGTTACGTGACCCCTTCCGTCTGCGCCACTAGTACTGTGCACTGCTACGTTGCACTGATTCGTGAAGAGTGCTGTCGGCTCTGGAAAGGTTATAACAATGACGTGAGACGATCTTAATGATGTGTTAAATAGCAAGTAAAGATAGTTTCTCGTCGTTTGCTGTATTGGCGAAATACTTCGGGCTGACTCCAGCTCCAGCCATGGTCTAGAGGTATAGGGCGTCGTTTGGGAACAGCGGGGCTTGGGCCAGAAACGCGCAAATTGCCTCAACGAAGTCTTTGTCATACCTTTTAGCATTCATGCAGGACTTCCGTCTTGGAGATACTGGATGGCCACTGTCAGATATCGCATGCCCTGCGTCAGAGCCTTGCGCAACAATACGGGCGTTCACGTGGTCACGTGGATGTTGCGCGCAAGGCACATCCCTGGAAAGATTTCCGCACATTCCCGAACAAAAGCTGTCTCGTTCGGCCCGGCCTAAGTTTTCGACGAAGACGTGTGGGGCCAGTACTTCGTGCATGACCTTTCTCGCGAGCTCCACTCTTTTTGCTCGGTCAGGGGTGTAGTTTCCTATTCCGTTACACGAGCTTGCTCCCCCTCCCCTTCCGACCGATTTTGCGAAACTTCATCTCCGCGCTCGATTATTCCTAGCTTCAGAGCCGGCGGAGATTTTACGAACCTTTTGATCGGTCGGATCTGCTGGTGACTCCGTGCCCTCGCGTAGTCTATGATTTACCCATAGTGCGGCATGCGGTAGTTTCAGACCGCACCATGGCCGCTGTGTCTTTTAAGGCGGTTACACTTAGCATAATCGACATTTCAGTATACGCTAGTACCAGCGGAACACGTGTAGGACCGAAAACGGACGACGGACAACGGACAACGGACAACGGACGAGGTTAAGAGTTGAGCTCATGCTCGGAAAACAGTGGGCCAGTCTCTTTGGACACTGTGCCAATCAATTTGTAAAGGCCATAGCGCAGCATGCAGTAGTTTCAGATTGCACCAAGCCCGATATGTATTTTCAGGCGGCCATACTTAGTACGATCAACATTTTAAGATACGCTCATTCCAGCGGAACATGAATGGGACTAAAAACGGTTAATAGCTCAGCTCACACTTCGGGAACAGCAGGCTTATCTCTTTGAACACTGTGACAATCGAATTGTAAAAGCCATAGTGCGGCATGCGATGGTTTCAGATCGCACCATGTCCGATGTGTAAGCGGTCATATACAATCAGCATTTCAGTATACACTCATTCCAGCGAAACACGTATGGAAATAAAGACGGACAACGGACAACGGACAAGGTCAACAGCTGGGTTCATCATACTCGGGAAACAGTAGGCTCTTTCTTTGTACACTACGCGAATGAAGCTGTCACGTAAACCAACACGTTACGGCAGTTTTGTTTTTTACCTAGCCTTAGGTCGCAGACACCGAAAAACGCAATGGAATTATTTCCTGCAGATGACAGTTCCCATTGCAATCTGCGTTACATCGTCGCCGACTTATGCAGCTTTAACCTTAAAAACAGCGTAGTCGATTCTTTCCCACAGCTCCCAATTGATGATACCGAGGTAAGCCAAAACTCATGGGCTTCACCACTTTCCAGTATTCATGTTTGCATGTAGCTCAACTGTCGGTGCCCATCTTACCGTCACGAAACCTTCGCCAATCAAGCAGTACACGGCTTTCGACTCCTTCTCGGCCTCAACCTTTCAATTTGTTCGCCCTGGGTGGGATCATAGAACTTCAAGTTTACCCTATTCGATTCTCGTTTGCAGACAGCCCAGTTTACAGCGTGTACCTATTCGATCTTCACCCAGACCTTCGACATTCGCCATGTGCCGTAGTTGAGCCCATCGCAGTTCAAAAACTTCGTCTCCAGGTCAGATAATGGGTTATCACCCGGCCACTTCTGCCCTAAAGGACCAGCTATGGTGGGCCCAAAAATCCCCTGAAACATTTTCGCCGCGGCCTCAAGTGACTCATTGATTGGAATGGGCAGCCAAGTCCGGACCACGCGCGTACCGCACCGCTAAACGGCGGGGGGGGGGCGGGGGGGGGGGGGGCGAGCTTAGACAGTCGCTTAGATGGCAACACGCGTGGCCCGGATCATTTGGAAGACAAGTGACTGCGGGGAATCGAGAAATGGCACGCGGGCTGCAGCCCTCCATGCGGACGGGCTGCCCTGTCCGTACGAGGTACGTACCGTACCTCTCCGACAGACGTGGACTTCGGCACCGTACCAAACAGCAGCCCCGGGTGGCTTCGCCCAAGTGCCAGTTTCAATGTTCCGTTTTTAACTCTAGTTTTACTGTGCAGGAGAGGGACTGATCAGTGAACACAGCAGGTGAGCCACGATATGTTGTGCTCCAGCGCGCACCCTGGCTAGCATAACAAGCAGTAGATCGCATAGCATATGAGGCCAGTGCCGCGTATGACCCACCCGTCCCACTTGTTTGATGTTTATCTCCATTTTCCCGAGGTTTCATTCAGCGCAGCATCGACCGTTTTTGGCAAGGATCGCAATTGCTATTTTAAAAATGTAATGCTAGTTTCTGGCGTTTTCCTTTATTTCTTACGTTGTCTAACCGTGATATCAATAACTTTTCACATTCATCACATTAGTACGTTTGCCAAGGTTACATGCACAATTCAGGTATTGACATGCTCCTTGGAGTCATCATAACCGAAATCAGCATAGTATTTAGTTCATTATTAAATTGATTAAATGCTATGTAATAAATAATAAAATTGTGACACCAAATAATAAATCATACAAAACAGTATACCTTAAAACTAATTAAATCCAAACCAATGTTTATGTATATCAACAATTCGTCGAAATCAACATAGTATTTAATCAAGCAGTTATTCATGTTATGTCTTTTAGGGTTTGCTGACACATTCCACACCCATAGCCATTTCGCGTCGAGGCCCTTCATGTAAAATGCTGAGGAAAAAATGGTGTGCCATAGCTTATGTCAACCACACGGCTATCGGCAAACAACCAGCAGTAAGCACTACCAATTATGCTTGGCCACCAGCACAAAAAGGGTCAATGAATAACGCTCTTAACTAGCAACGGCCGCGTTTATTAACCCAATATCAACCAATTCAGCCTAATTCCTGTCTACCCGGATGAGCAGCCCAGTCAGACGCCGACGGGTACGGAGACGGAGGAGGTGACATGACCGGTTCACGCGCACAGTCCGGCTCGCAACACCGCCAGCGGACAGCAGGCGCACACCACAGACGCGAGCCACGAAGTGTGGCCACCTTCGAGATGAGAACACCGACAGCGGCTAGCACTGTGGCCAGATCCAGCTGCAGGCCTGACGAGGGTCTGCAGGTACACTGAGTGGTCATGACCAGGTACCTGACGTCATGACCTGGTACCAGGCCGTCGCGTCAGGCACGGGTCTCAACAAACATGATGCATGCCAAGTATATGTTGCGCTGAATGAACACGAGCCGCCTGCGAGCGCGACTCGCACATTCAAACTACCTGATAGAATCCGTGGTGACCACCCGGGCATGTGACACCACTGCTGTCGTCCAAAGGCAAAATCCCATATACTAATTTTTGGTCATTTTGAGTGTTTTATGTCGTCTGATTCGTCCACTCATGCTGAATTCGGTTATTTAAACTATCAGGTGAAGTTTTCACAAGCTTTTAGCCCTTTCTTTTAGGCAAGAAACTGAAAATTTCGACTCTTGGTTTGAATATCCGAATTCAGCATGAGAAGACGAATCAGATGGCATAAAAAACGCAAATTGGCCAGCAATGGACATATGGGGTTTTACCTTTGGACGGCAGACTGCCCAGCTACGGATCATGACCGAACAGAGAACACCCGCAACCGACAAGCACGCCTGCGAGCCTCAGGGCTCCATGGAGCGCGCCTGGTCCCTGAGAGACGGCACGTGGTGGGCGGAGCGGGCGATCGACTCCCACTGGTAGCCCAGGTGGGTCGCCAGGATCCGCAGCTTCTGCACGTTGCCGCAAGTACGGTCGATCGCCGACTCCTGTGCGAGAGGACGCCAGCTGTAGGATATCGGCCCCACGCAGATCTTTTGAGGCGAGGTGGTGTGAACATGGTCAACTGCACTGGCAGCCGCCACCGCCCCTCTGACTGAATATGGCACAGACTCAAAACCAGCCGCTAGACCAATGCCGGAACACATGATATCATCCCACCCCAAGACACCTTCCAGACAGTGGGATCTTCAACCAGAGGGTACCACTTCAGGAAGGGTTCAACGCGGGCCGCGAGCCGGAGTTCTCGCTAGGATCAGCAACGTCGCGCGAGATCGCTGCGTCATTGACTGTAATGTAACGCCTCCCATGTGGAAGAACGCGCTCGATGGTTTGTTTCCAGTCACATCCTGCTGGGTGAAATGAGAGACTGTATGAGCGCCTCGTCCAAATCTTGACATTTAGAAAACTATGCGACTTGAGACTGACACTCCGCAATGGACGCGGCAAGCCATACATTTGCACCCACATTGTGAGAGATCTGCGACACACTCACATTCTACGCTTCTGTTGCATTATCAAGCCGGGTGCGTGCGTACAAAAATGCGTGCGTGCGTGCGTGCGTGCGTGCGTGCGTGCGTGCGTGCGTGCGTGCGTGCGTGCGTGCGTGCGTGCGTGCGTTGTGTGTGCGGGCAAACCATGAGCTGCAAGCCTATGTGCCCATGTTATACCAAACAGTCAGGAGGCCGAATTGCACAAGCCAACACGATGTAAAAAAGACACACAGGTAATCGCAAACACGCAGAGACGTGCGTGCTCACGCCCGGAAGCAAGTACGACACAAGAGTGCACGCACGCACGTGCCACAAAAGCCGGTCGTTCGGCATGACTGCCGATGTCCGCGGGCCAAGGGGAGAGGGCAGCCGCAGCGGCCGCCCTCAGCTGTACGGCACCTGGGCGGCGAGAGAGCGCGCCGCGCCGACCAGCAGCTCCTGGGAGCGGGAGCCGCGCACTGCTTGGCGGCACACCGAGCCGCACGCGTCCACGTTGACCGCCACCCGCTCCACCAGCCGGGTGCGCGACTCAGCGAACAGCGACCGGGCGCTGCTGCTGGAGGCTGAGGCCATTGGCTGCTGAAATGGAGCATGTGGCCCATCACAGGCAGGTTACAAGGCCTGTGCATTGAGTAATGGCCTGCTTTTGTAGTTCAGTCAGAGAGCCTGCAGCTAAACCCACTTATAGTGGGGTAAGTTCCAGTCACAAGGTGTGCTCACCTTCCGCCCTAACTGGAGTAGTCTGTGGTATGTGGCAGATGCTGCCCGTGATGATGATAAGGTCAGGGGCTGGATCAAATGTGTAGAACATTGTGCCATAATCAAAACTTGACCAATGAACTGCAACTCCCTGATCAGATGGTGGGGTCATCAACAACACAAGAACTGCTTCACACGTCTGATCCCACAAATCCATTGAATTATATTGCTTAATCCTGATGTAACTAACGATGCTAAGAGACTGATGTGTTTTTCATCTGTTCACACTTAAGCACTTCGTAGTTTGATGATGACCACTGATGGTAAGTTGAATGGCAGAGGTCGTCAAACGAGTGACCTCTGACAAGGCCTGTGTGTGACATGAGTGACATTTATTATGAGTACCAACTGGTTTTGAGTACACATATTAAACACAGCGCTTATGAAATCTTA